TTTTTTTTTTTCTCAATTTCAGCTCGTATTGTTTGTTGATTGAACTCCTGAGAGTGTCATCACTGAAGTCTGTTTGTTTATCTACATTGATTAGTCTTATAATTAAGATGAATTGCAAAGATAATGATTGATCATTCATATTTGGCCATCTGCATAGATCTTTAGAGCATGTTTGGATATGAAAATTTTTAGTTTTGTTGGATTTTTTTTGGTTTGGTTTGGTTAATTTTGAAAATTGTAGTATGATTAATTGTTAGTGGGTATATTAAAATAATATTTAAAATCAAATAATTGAATTTTGGTGTGATTGCTAGTTAAAATTATGTGAGTTGATGAATAGTGAATTAAGGTTGATGTGGTGTGTATGAATGATTGATTGGTATTATTTAATTATATTGATAATGTTGATGATAGTGGGGTTGAGTTAAAATTTAGTTAAAATAAGTGGTTGAGTTAAAAGTGATTTATTTATTTATTTATTTATTTATTTTTTAGTTTCGGAGTTTAGTGAAGGACAATTGAAGAAAAAATAGCAAAATGGGTGGGAAAGGGAATTGGTTGTCTGCAGTAAAGAAAGCTCTCAGCCCAGATACTAAAGAGAAAAAGGCAAAGGTGACTGAAACTCACTACTTTAATCTCCTTTTTTAAGTTCCTTTCATTCTAATTTTGATTCTTATTTGCAGAAAGATAATAAATCGAAGAAAAAATGGTTTGGAAAAGAAGAGCAGCCGGTGGTATCCGAACCTCCACAGCAAGAAGCTGCCCAAGTTTCTAATCCTCACCCTTTTCCACCTTTGGAAGATGTGAAATTAGCAGAAGTTGAGGATGCGGAGCTGGCAGAACATGCTTATGACGTGGCAGTCGCAAGAGCGGTGGAGGCTGAGGTGGCAGTGGCGGCGGCTGAAGTTGTCCAAACGACGGTGCCATGTCAGCTCGCTGGAAAATCAGCCGAAGAAATAGCCGCCATCAAGATTCAGACGGCATTTCGTGGTTACCTAGTATGTTATTCTGTTTTTTTCCTTTTCTGGGCTTTGTTTGTTTTATTAAGCCTCTTTTACTTGAGCTGATAGGATAGGATATGGTTGGATAACTCCTGTTACCCAACGTTAATGGATAATAAGTTGATGTGTCATATGGGTCTCACACTTTTATGCACAATTGGCAGGATTATTTTGTCCGGTGACTATTTAATCCCACCATACAAATGACCATTCTGTCCAAAAATTGGCATGTGGAATGTTCCTTTTACCCTTAGAAGTCCACCAAATTACAGATCAGGTCCTAAAATTGTCCTGTAGGTCCCACACCTTTACCTCATATTTTGTTTTTTATCCAGTCTATCTTGATTGATTTTGCCTTAAAATGCATCATGTTTTGTGAACATTGAACACAAGATGACGTGTAAAGTTAATGGGATAAAAGTTGTCCAATCCCATCTTATCCCATCCCATAAAGTAAAAGAGCCAGAGTATTTGGATATGCAGTAATGGACTAAATTATCCCTGTTCGATTCACTTTGTTTATATACCAATTTTCAGCCTTCTCGGTTTTTGCTGTAACATAGTAGCAAGAATGTTGTAAAATAAAAAAAAAAAAATTGTAACCATGATTACATTTACTACATTAAATGTTCTCTAATCACTTAAGTCTGTGCGAATCTTCTCCAAGCCCGTATTATGATTTTCCATTTCGTTCTTATTTCATTTGTTTTTATGGTGCATGATGTTTTTCATAATTCTCATCCACAAAATGTTCTGAATTTATGCTGATCAATATCTGTTTTCCATGATATTTTTATAATGTAGGAAAGCTGTGTTTCCAGATAGAATCAAGTAAAAAAAAAAGGCTACTGCTAATGGTGCCTTGTTAATTTTTGGTAAATAAGATATAACTTGTAAGAAGTTGTAAGAAAATAGTGGTTGCTCGTCCTAGATGTAACAAAATCTATTGCTCGTCATAATTTCAATCTGACTTGTCATATGAAAATACTTTCTAACTTTAGTTTTCGGTTCTCATTTGTTGTTTGGGCGAGTCCTTCATTAAGTTACAAAATGACCATTTTTACCAAGGGAGTTTTTGTTCTTGTTCCTAATCTCAGGCTCGGAGGGCATTGAGGGCTCTAAGAGGGCTCGTTAGACTTAAATCACTGGTTGATGGGCCCACAGCCACACGCCAAACGGCAAATACTCTGAAATGCATGCAGACATTATCGCATGTTCAGTCTCAGATACAATCGAGAAGAATAAGGATGTTAGAGGAGAATCGAGCACTACAGAGACAACTCCTCCAGCAACGTGCTAAAGAGCTAGAGAGTCTCAGAGTTAGTTCTTTTTTGTTGATAATTCCGTCATATTATTATTAAAAAAAACATCTAGTCTATAGAAATTCCTAGGACCAGCAGATTTATCTACTATCATCATTTTTTGAAATCTGCAATAGGTTTTTTTGTCCTTTTTTCTTTTTAATATGTATTCAAAAGAAATTGACAAAAATGCATTTTAGTCCTGTTGGTTTAACGCCATAGCGATTTTAGTGCCAAGGTTCCAACTTTTCGCGTTTTGGTCCTGTGATTTATATATATATAATATTTATCGGTGTACTATGATATATATTTTGCTGCAACCTCAAATTGCAACAAAATTTTTAATTATAGGACTTAAATTGCTAATAAAAAATCAATAAATTTGGGAATTTGTTGCAAAGGATTGAAATTTCTGTAAAATATTAAATCACAGGACCCAAAAGGCGAAATGTTAGAATCTTGGGACTAAAATTGCTACAATGTTGAGCCAGTGTTAAACCAGCACGGCTAAAATTGCAATTTAGCCGAATAAATTTTTCCTAGCTGTTTAACCGAGAGGCTATATTGTTGTTGTAGATGGGAGAGGAATGGGATGATAGCCTACAATCGAAAGAGCAAATTGAGGTGAACTTGCTGCACAAATATGAAGCTGCAATGAGGCGAGAAAGGGCATTAGCTTATTCATACACTCATCAGGTACTTCAAATATTTTTTTCGACCCTAATACACGATATTATGCGGTTGTGCTCTCTCAAAAGGATGAAGTCATATTTCTAATTCTCTAGCTATTTATCAAGTCTGAAAGGAAAAAGAGAAAGAATAAGGGAGGAAATTTTTTCCCTATTTACAAGTGCCCATTTCTTTCAAAAACTGCATGAGCATGCACAGAGTCATTTTTTTTTTTTTAAATTTTTTCTTTCTCGTTCTCATGTTCTTTTAACTATTTTCACCTACTATCGTGTATTGAAATTGTAAAAATTATGTTCGATTTCATGCAAAAAATAAAAAAATAAAAAATATATCACTCCCATTGTTGGTCTTTGTAACCATGACATATTTTCCAATCCGAAAAAGTAAAATTTTCACTGTTTACAAGTGTCTATTTACAAAATGTGTTTCAAAAACTGCATAAGCATACATAAATCATTTTTTTTTTTTTTCGCGTTCTCATGTTCTGTTAACTATTTTCACCTACTATTGTGTATTGAAATTGTAAAAATTACTTTCGATTTCATGAAAAAATATTATATATATATGTATATCACTCTCATTTTTGGTCTTCATAACCATAACAAAATTTTCGAATCCAAAAACAGCAAACATGGAAAAAGTCTGACTAGCTATTTATTAAGTCAGACGACTACCCAAAAAGGAAAACGAAAAGCGATCAGGGGAAGGAAATTTTTCACTATTTACAAGTGCCCATTTATCAAATGTGTTTGAAATGCTGCATGAGCAATTAAGCATAAAGTCATTGTTTTTTTTTCCTCGTTCTCATGTTCTTTTAACTATTTTCACCTACACTGTCGTATTGAAATTGTAAAAATAACGTTCAATTTCATGCAAAAAAAAAAAAAAAAGAAAAAAAATCACTCCCATTTTATTGTCTTTGTAACCATGAAAAATTTTTCCAATCCGAAAACAACAAACATGAAAAGAGCCGTCCAAGACGAGCAACTTGCCCATTTATAAAAATGTGTCTTTCCAAAACTGCATAAGCATACGTCCATTTTTTCCCCTCATTTTCATGTTCTTTTAACTATTTTCACCTACTATCTTATTGAAATTGTAAAAATTGCGTTCAATTTCTTGCAATATATATATATATATATCACTCCCATTTTTTGTCTTCGTAACCATGACAAAATTTCCAATTCAAAAAACAGCAAACATGGAAAAAGTCATCCAAGACGACCAACTTGCTCTTCATGGACCCAACCAATCCTCACTGGGGCTGGAGCTGGTTAGAACGTTGGACTGCATCTACCACCCGACCATTAGAAAATTCCCAAAATGCCCTCAATAATGAAAACAACGTCAAAACCTCCAGTGGAGGAAGTGACATCACAAATTCCTTTGCCCGACATCAGCTCAATCAATCCTCACCCACCAGCCTAAAAAAACCTCCTTTCTCCCCAAAATCATTGAATGCCTCTATAGCTTCCAAGAAAATCAAGCCTGCAAGCCCGGTTAGTCAAGATGATGAATCGAGAAGCACTTTTAGCGTGCAATCGGAGAGGAATAATAATAGGAGGCACACTATTGGTGGTGGTTCGTCTACTAGGGATGATGACAGCCTGGCGAGTTCTCAAAACTTGCCGAGTTATATGGTGCCAACTCAGTCAGCCAGGGCTAAGTTGAGGCTAGCTAGTCCATTGGGGATCGAAAATGGCGAATTTAATAATAATAATGGTAATAGCCACATTACGCCTCAAAAGGATTTGGCTAAAAAACGGCTTTCTTACCCGCCATCGCCAGCTAGGACGAGGAGAAATCCGGGCTTGAAAAAGGTTAGTGAGACGGTTGTCGTTTGAGAAGAGAGTGATTTGTGAAAGAACGTTTTCCTCGATTTGTGTTTTGTTCAGTTGTTTAATTTATTATATGGGTTTGGGGTTGATTTGCTTTGGGTGATGAGTGGTTTTACGGGTTATTTGTGTGAGGTGGACTAATCGTTAAGATATGTCGGACCTTGTTACACCTTTACAAACAAGAATGCGTATTTATGCTATAAAATATCATACTTTTTTTTTTAATTATTATTTATAATGTTTTCTGGTATAGGGTTTGCTTTTCATATTTTATTTTATTTTTTCGATTTTTGTAAACATTCTAAAAGTGTTATTGTATCCGATAACTAATTGATGTGTGATTTTTTATGAAAATTTCTTTGTATCCGATAGCTCGTGTTTGCTTGTTTATTGCCATTGTGAGGACTTCGGTTTCTTGTTTTGGTGGACTACACTTAGTGTTGTTAAATTAAACGAGTCTGGCTTGGCTTGGCTCGAGTTCGAGGTCTCAACGAACCGAGCTCGAACTCATTTAAAACTCGTTTGGTTAGTAAGCCGAACTCGGCGATTTATTTATTTATTTATTTATTTTTTATAGTTTGACTCGTTAAAAAACTCGGGATCGGTTCATTTAAGCTCGAACTCGAGGCCTTAACAAGGCGAACTTGAGCTCGATTTCTGGATCATTTATTTAACGAGTCGAACTTAGCTCGGCTCGTTAAAGGCTGCTCGACATACGCCGTCTTTATCACGAAACCAACCATCCAAACAAATTTTCACTCGCGGACTGCCGCATCGTATAGAAGAGCCCAACCATTAGTACGAGTACTTCCGCCTTTCTAACTAGAAATCATATCCCGACAGAGAAAGTCGCCCTGATTGAGCACTACCAAACTTTTTTAACCAGAATATTTCAAAATTCCAAACACACTCCGGACTTCTTGTCTTGAAATTTGTACGGAGACAATTATACATAAGCTACAAGGTAACAACAAAATTCCTAAACTTAGCACCACAATCCCCGTTTAGAATAGCCAAAGTTCGGAAGATAAAATCCCGTTTTCGGAGACTATTCTGGTTAACCTCCTCCTTTCTAACTAGAAATCATATCCCGACAGGGAAAGTCGCTCTGATTGAGCACTACCACACTTTTTTAACCAGAATATCTCAAAATTCCAAACACACTCCAGAAGATAACATCCAACCATCCTGCGTATTTCCATAACTTCCTTGTCTTATCATATTCGAATAACAAATGAATATTCGTTCCCAACAATCGCACCGCAAACACTGACCGTCCAAAAATATAGGTCTCCGAGCGAGGTTTTCACATGATGGAATGAGTGAGGTATTTGAGTCTTCGTATTGTCTTCAATTGTAACAAATATTTGAATGCAAATAAATGAGAGTTGGTCCCATACTCCCATCTAATGCCAATCATTCTCCTTTATTTCAATCCAAAGCATCAATTGCGTGTAGTCATTTGTAAAGCAATTGCATGAAGGAATTCCCCGTCATATTTTGTCCTCCACCTTTTGCACCCTCATCTCAGTATATGGACGAGTGTTCAATTGCAGAAAAAAAAAAAGAAGTACAAGAGGAGAGAAAATGCAGTGAAAATCAGAAAAACTGAGAAAATATAGCAAAAATAAGAACATGGTAGTTCTTTGAAACGAATAATGTCTGTTATCAAAATAACAAAAGAGAAATAATTTTATTTCAATTTTAAGTGATCGATTCTCAACTCCGTTGCAACTTATGGGATCTCGGAAGTCTGGTGTGCTTCAGATTTCGAGACGATCTTTGTTAAATCTTTGGGGACGATACGCATGTACCGTCAGCACTACATGGGTGTATCCGTCTTGCGGAAAGAGGTTACTCGCCTCGACTACAATCTTTCTATTTTTTGATACTGTAATATATATTCAGTTTTATTGTAATTTTATATTTTTTGTTCATTTGTAAGAACTGAAAAATACACTTCAATTTGTTGGATTTCCGTGTGTTTCGACACACCAATTTATAATAAATAATAATAGTACATGTTTTAGTTTGTCAAGAGTACGTAGTAGTCTACACGTTTTTTATTGTTCGTTTTAGGGGAAAAGGAAAGAAAATTACAATACGTATAAGAATTCCCAAATTGGCCCCCGATATCTAAACTATATTAGACTTGCTTGTAGGCCAAAAATTCCAACCTAATATCGACTTCCCCCATTCTTTTTCAAACATCCCGCGCTTTTATTTTCCTCACGGCCCGGCCAACACGCGCCGCCCGGCCTCCGCCGGCGGTATTCAGACGAACATACGCCGGAAATATGCTGCGGTACATCTTTTTTTTCCAGCGATTTGAGTCTCAACATTTCTCATTATGCCATCGCTATTCAGTCTTTATGCGTCTGGTAATGTTCTACGCGAATTCGTACAAATTGAGTGTCCTCTTTGCTTGGGTATGGTGTTTGATGATCTAATTGACGATATATAAACTGGATTGATTCTATTTTGTTTGCAATAGTTTCCGGATCATTAGACGATCGTGTCCAGAATTCTGCGGTGCTTTTGGTGCTACTGATTGCTTATTTTGTGCATATCAACGGTTATAATGCTTGCTAGCTAACAAGGAAAGATACTGATTCTCAGCTTCTACCTGGAAACTCACTCTATCACTATGTGTGTATGTGTGTGTGTGTGTGTGTATAGTTTGATTTTTCCTATGGGAATTCATAGCATCTACTCTGGTGATCGATTTATCGCCAAAAAATTGATCGTCAGCAAAGAAAGTGAGAGAGGTTTTTGTAGTTTATATGTTGCTATGAAGCTTGGAAATACAATAGGAATAAAGTATTGGAATGTTGCATAGGCATAGCTAAGAGTGAATGCCATTACACTCTAGTGATATGAAGTTTCCCTATTGATTGTTTTGATCTGATGTCTAGTGATTGCTTATGTCTGTGTGCTCGTTAATTTCGTTCTCTGTTAAAGATTTAGCTTTATTTAGTAGATAAGAGTGAGCACGTCTAGAAATGGTTTGAATTGGAAATGTGTCTTAAAATGACAGTAAATGTATAACCCCTTCTTCACTTGCTAGATGACCAGATAAAGTATTGATGTTGTTTTCGTTGGAACTTTATCCGAGGAGTAATCGCCCTAAGAGGAAAATAAAATCACAAATCATTTCGCAATCCAATTTCGAATACTGGACCAGATTTATTCTTTTTGCCCTTTCCTCTTTAATAGATGTAGGTAGACCGAATAAAGAGAAGACCCGCAGAGAGAATGTGAGTGCTTTTTAGACGCATGTGGCGGGGACAAAAAGGATTTAAGTCACTAGCCATCCACCCTGTTAGAAAAGGATTTGCACAAACCAGTAGACATAAACTTGAATTAAATGTTAAATCGAAAAATTCACGATTGTGTAGCTTCAGCTAAGCAACTTAACAAAGGTGTTCTTTGAGGGGGTTACAATAGAAAAATAGACTTTTCCACCCAAATTGTCTGAACACATTGTCTGAGCCTTTGCTGGAATTTCGATTCTTAGCCGGTACACTAGGTGAACACATAGGATTGTCTTTTCAGGATAAAATCAGGAGTCTCGTTGATTCACGAATCTGCAAATTCAGTAATGTAACATATCATAAGAAGAAGGTTATGAGTTTTTTTGACAATGTTGTAATGCAATAAATGATTAAATTCTTGATAATGGGTTGTCAAATGTATATTCTGTTAGATGCATTATTCTTTTTTAGTGTTTGTTGCAAAATAAAAAACATATACTGCAAACCTTACAGAAACCATAATTGAAAGAAGGATCAAGAAATTCCTCGACCGGCCACCCGGTTATTGTCTCCATCAAATACTCTGAGATATTATCTGTCGAGTCCAAATACTGCTTTTTCTGTAGCTGGCTCGACTCGCTGTCCCTGTATGGTTTAGATGCTGACTCCGAACAGTATGAAATCGAGTTCTGCTGGTAATAACCATTTACTTTGATTTCCTGTTCGGTCCGTGATCCAGTGGAGGAGGTCCCAACTTCATACGACGAGGCAGTGGCTGAGAGCTTGACACCTGTGAGTAAGAACCTGTTGTGCTTTTCGGTGAGCTCATTGGCTTTGTGTATTGGTATGTCGCAATCTCTGCAAAGCAGTGCCCTGTCTTCTTGGCAGAATAGCAATGCTTGCCTATCCTGTAAAGTGTAAACATAGCCGAAAATTGTTTATTTCTTCCTTTATTTTTCTATTTGGCAAAATTGCACATAAAGACACCACTTTTAAGGTTTTTGGGATTTAATCACCACCTTTTTGCTATTTGTGTTTAAGTCACCGTCTTTTCATATGTGTTGCAGATCAAAGCATAAATTTAACGTCCGTTAGATTTTCCTTCACGTAGAAGTTTCGTTTATGCCAAGTCAGCTCAATCTATCGTAAGTTAAATTTATGCTTCGATCTGCAAAACATATGAAATGTGGTGAGTTGAACGCAACTAGCAAAAGGTGGTGATTAAATTACAAAAGCCTTAAGCTTTGGGCCTTTATATGCAAGTTTGCCTTTTCTATTTGTCATTTTTTGAATTTGATGAGTGTTTTTGATGATGGTAACCTGGCAAATGTCACAGCTTGGGAATTCTTTGAATTCAGGGCTGAGAAGGGAAAATCGAGGGTGCTTGCTGGCGAGCTTATTAGCATTGTGAACTCGATTATCGCACGTATGGCAAAGGGCAGCCTCGTCCGAGGCACAGAAAACGGTCGCTGATTCTTTTCCGCATACGTCACATTGGATCTTCATTCTTGCTAATTTTGTAAGTAACAATTTTTTTTTTTTCTAACTTCTTTTTTTTCTCTGCTTTTGTTGTGCTTTTTCTCTGTGTGTGTTGCTTTTTGTATGCTTGTTTGTGAATGAATAAGGTGGATATAAAATATAATGCTACAGTCTAGAGAGAGGGTGTAAAAGAGAAGGTTGGTATATCACATTGGTAGAATTGAATGAGGAAAGAGAGGAACTTTTATGGGCATATGGGTAGAGGGAGGAAGGCACAGCTAAGCTGGAAATCATTTTTTTTTTCCTTTTTTTTTCTTCAAAATAATGAGTTAATGATGAAAATCGAAATCTCTGGAAAGGATCCATGCAAATTGGCAATATTTTTTTCTTTATACATTTTCTTTTTCTGTCTCTGTCTATAAAATCAAGGTGGGCTGGCAGGGTTAGGGGCAGAACTGTCTTTTTCCATTCTGAAATAGTGTGTTTATTCGGTTCGGCCGGGTTTGATTTTGGATACCGGTCGATTCTGGGTTATGTTCAAAATACACAAAAAAGATGTTATGCGAAACATAGATATGATTGCTACATTTTAGGAAGAACTAGGAAAAAACCGTACCATGTTCGGTTTAGCTGGGTTTGCATTTCGTTCGTTTTCTAAGTGAATTACGATAGAATATGTTGTGTTTTTTTCTTGCCCAGATATAGATTGCCAGCCCCTACACACTCTATAATGTGACTTCTTGATCAGTTGATCTCAGCATCTCAAAATTCAAGAAACCAATCTACCTTTAAATTTTCACATGCTCAATTTCATTTGTTTTAGCCTATAGTACCTCTAAAGATCACCCAACTCTCAAATCAACATGCAATTGCTTCTATCATGATTATAGTATCTCAAATACCCTTTTGGAAAATATTTAATTTGTGGGGACCATTGACAAGTGGGAATGGCTGGATGGGGTAGAAGGCTTTTATTTGTTCATTTAATGATCTGAGCTCACTTTTTTTCCTAAAAAAAAGAAGATTTGATATAAGTAGAAATGAATTATAATATAAAGAAATTCAAAATATTTTGAAATAGGCTCATTCTCCGTGGAAAAATGTTTTATAGTTTGATCGAGCTCTTTAGAGAGGCTATATATTATGCCATATCAAATTGTAGTTATTTCCAGTCCTACCTCCATTTAATACAGTTCAATTTGTGAACTAGGCTCATTCTCCGTGGGGAAAATGTTTTATAAATAAAAAATCCTATGTAAAATTAATGTGACTACTACAAAACTTTATCTTGTATTAGAACCTTTGATAGTGAACGGAATTTGATTTATTCAAATTCCTTCGAATGCATGTAAGAATAGGGGTGAGCAAAACCGAGCCGAAACCGAAAAACCAAACCGAACCGATGTATTCGGTGCGGTTCGGTTCGGTTTTTTAAGATTCGGTTTTCGGTGCGGTTAAACTTTTGGAAAACCGCACAGGTTTTGGTGCGGTTCGGTTTTTTGTCCGAATGATGCGGTTTTAACCGAACCGCACCGAACATAGTTTTTTTTTTTTTTTTTTTTATACAAATATGAAATATGTTGACATGTTTGTATTGTAAATATACATGCTCATTTTAGGCCTTTGGTTTAGGATGACTAACATTAACAATAAATAAGTAAAGTAATAAATAATAACAATAACAATTAAAAATTAATAACATTACATTAAATCTAATTTCTTGCCTTAGTTTTTTTTAAATAAATTTTGGGCTTTTGGTTTGGTAATGTTGCACATTATATGATAATGATGTAGCTTCATTTTATTTTGTTTTTTTTTTTAAATTTGCGGTTAACCGAAACCGAACCGCACCGAACCGAAAATTTCGGTGCGGTTTCGGTTCGGTTTTTCTACATGTTTCGGTGCGGTTCGGTTTGGGTAAATGAAAAAAATCGGTTTTCGGTTTTTTGCGGTTCGGTGCGGTTTTGCACCGAACCGCACCATGCTCACCCCTATGTAAGAACATTAGGAGTTAGGACAATTTCCAAACTATGCAAATGAATGTGATCGCCACTCGAAAAGGTAATATTTTGACAAAGCTTTTTGGTTGGTGAAATCCATAAGCAATTGTAGACTTAACAAAAGGGAGCAAAAATTTCATCATTAAAATGTGTCTGCTAGTTACTTATTAAGATTTCGTTATCTTTCAACCACATACCAACCATATAATTCTAAAAACTTTTTAAAACTTTGGAAATTTTGGTTTATTTAATTTGAACTTTTTAAGACATTTTAAAAGTCTTCGGGTATTCATTTGGGATTTCAAAAAATCTTTACAAAATGCTGAAGTATTTAATTTATTTGAGAATATGATCTATTAAGCCAACTTATTTGAGACTAAGATTTGTTAATGGTGTGTTTGTAAAATAAATAATTTGCGTTAATTAACTTAAAGTGGGTTTTTTTTTTTTTGGTTAATTGAGGTTTATTTAAAAAAAGTGGTATAGTTAGTTGTTAGTGTGACTTTGAGTTTATATTAAAATAATAAAATAATTAAAATTGATTTGATGTAAAAGTATATGAGAGATGTTATAAAGTGACGGTTAGTTAAAATTATGTGAGTTGATGAATAGTGGATTAAAGTTGATATGATGTGTAGAAATGATTGGTTATTATTATTTAAGGCCTAGTTTACTAGAGATGATGGGATCGTACAAATTAATCCATTCAATTTGTCACATCAGATTTTGAAAACAAATTGCCCCATGTTTACCAAAGTGGATAAAAGTCTATGATAAATAATAACATTACTGATTTAATTAATTAAATTGATATTTTTTTTAAATTAAATAATTTTTTTTTTAAATTAAATAAAAATATTTTATATTAAAAAATATTTTTAAGTTAAATAAAATTAATTAAATTAATATTTTATAGATTAAGTAATATTAATTTAAATTAAATAAAGTTATGTTAGATTAAATAATATTATTTTAGATTAAATAAAATTATTTTAAATTATTAAAATTATTTAAATTATAATTTTATTTAAATTATTTAATTCAATTAAGAGAATGGGATTAATTAATTGTTATCTTACTTATCCAAAGTATCTACTGCCTTAAACTCAAATTTGATCTCTTTCCATACTTCACAAGCGGCAGCTAGTTCAGGACTCAGAGTCCTTATGGCTTGCTCTTGAAAAAGAATAAGAAAAGAAAGAGATATTATTTAAATACAATTTAATTTTATTTAAATTATA